ATGCATACAATATACACACACTATGATAATTACGACAAAATAAACATAGATCAACAAAATGTTCTGTGCGTGTGCATCTCCAGCGAAATTTTAATATACACCGTTGTAAGTCATGAATCGGAAATGATTGTATATCAATCATTCCGATTCCAAACTTTTGTGCTACCGAGTTGTAGATGCAATGTAAATCTTGACTTTGAAATGATTGTACCAGATGATGATCATCGGTAGTACCGAGTATTATGGGTCGCGTTTTCCTGGTTGATTAGCCCAAAAAAACAGTAACATGGTGGATTCAACAAAAATTAGTACAAGTGTCATTAATAGTATGTTTTGATATTTTATGTAGTTGGACATATTTTATGAATATTTGAACAAATATTTTTGACTGAGTCCAAGATATTTGCTTGGACCGATTCAGATGCCAACACTGGTTTATTCCAAAACAAGAAGCTAAATCTCAATAAATAGGCAAAACCTTCGATTCTCAGACCTAAGAGAGTTATCCTTTATATACAATTTAGTTATTACACAACTATCAAACTACAGAACATAAGTCAGTACAAAGTCAGTACAGAATTCGCGGGTCCAAAGTATGAATTTTTATAAAAAGAAGTTGGCCGTGCTTCAGAATTAATAAAAATTCAAATAAAATAAAGTAAATTATTATGTACAATACAAAATATGAATTTTTTGTCATTATCAAAATCTTGGATTCGCAAAGTAAAGAATTTTTTGTAAGAAATTCCTATTATTGTGGAAGGCAGTTTTAATGTTGATATTACAAAGTAAGAATTTTTATAAGAATTTTGCGAGGCGGCATCAATTTTGATACATGTTCTAAGGATTTGGTACGGGACGATACATATGTTAGGCATACAAGATTAAAATTTTCTCGCATTATTCCAGAATTTTCGTAATCACAGGATTTCTCGTTGCGACGGCAACAATATTTAGACAATACTATCATTAATTCTTTAATTTCATCAAAAATCAAATTTGTTAAATATTTTTGAACATTTTTATTTTTAAATATTCTGATTGAAAGAAAATAAGTGATAAAATTATTTTAATTCTACCTGAATAGCACTTCAACTTTTATTTCTTTGTATCAAAATGATATTTTTTGTGCTAAAAAAATTGAAAATAATTCCTCTTTTGTCATAAAAAGTTTATATATAATTTGATTATTAATATTAGAAAAAAATTATTTTATTTATTACTTTTTTATAGATTTTATCAATTATGAATAAGTTTATTATTTTAACAAAATTCTAATTCTAATTCCAAATAAAAAATAGTGCAGATTATAATAAATCTAGTAAAATTGAGTGATTTAAATAATAGGAATTCTAGTTAGTTTAAAATCTATTTTTGACTTGAAAAAATCTAACAATCTGAAAATAATAATAATAAAAACATAAAATTTTGTAGTTAATGTAAAATGACAAGAACAATTAATTAATTTATTGAAAGCATATAGTTTTTATGAAAGTAAATACTGAAAATTATTAAAAAGCAATTTTTTCAAATAATTAATGAATTATAATATTTAAGAATTTACTTATATTTTATATAATATAAAAAATTTTAATACAAAGATTTCTTTCAAAATAAAATATATCATAATTAGTTAATTACAAAATATTTAATTATTATAGATTAGAAAATTAGGTTATAACTTAATTTCTTTTTAAAAGATACTAAATATATTATTTTAATAATAAAATTTTTCATTTTTAAATATCAAATATTAATATTTAAAATAAGCAAATTTATATTAACTTGAAATAATTAAGCTTGACAATTATAATATAAAATTAATAATAATAAGATTTTAAAATTGCAAATTGCTTAATATTTAAAAATATAACTTATTTTAAAGTAATAAGTTAGTATAATACTTGAATATTAAATTAATATTGTTATTTATCTTAAAAAATTTAATTTTTAAAATTATTAAATTATATTAAATATTTTTATTAATTGAAAAAAGTATTATATTTTAAAAAATAATATATTAATTAAAGAAATTTTTATATTTTAATAGATTTTATAAAGATTATTAATATTAAAAATAATATAAATACTTAAAAAAATTTAACTAATAATATTAAATATTATAAATTATTTATGAATACTTATTTTAAATATAATTTATATAATTTATCAAAATTTTAAATTTATTAAGTAATAAAATATCAAATAAATAGCAAATATAAACTAATTATAATAAAAATTATATAAATTTTATTAAAAATTCTAATAAAATATATATTATTTTTATTATATTTAGTTTATATAATCTTATTAATAAAATTTAAAATTATAATATATTTATTAATTATTTTTTTATAATTAAAAAATTAATATATATTTTTAAATTTAATTATAATCTAATATATAAATATTTATATTTTAAAAAAAATAATTATTAATTCTAAATAAAAACTATTCAAATTTTAATTAATTATTATAATTTTTTTTTATTAAATAAATTATAATTTAAATTAACTTTTATACTATTTATTTTTCTATTATATTTTAATTTGATAATAAAAAAAATAAAACTAAAATAAATTTTTTTAAAATTTATTATTATTATTAATTTATAATATTAAACTTTTAATTAATACAAGTAATTTAATAAATAAATATTTTAAATTTTAAATTAATATTTATAAAAAAATTAGAATTTAAAATATAATAATTAGATTATTTATTATATTATTTTTATATTAATTTTAATTAAATTTATATAGTAAAATTCAAGAAAAAATAATTTAAATAAGTTATTATTAATAAAAATTTTTATAAAAGATATATATTTTAAATATTTATATTTTATAAATTTTAATATTTAATAAATTAGTTAAATAAATAAAACTAAAACTTTATTTTAAAATATTAGTTTTTTTAAGATAAAAATATTTTATATTAGATAATATATTTTATTTACTAATATTAAATAATATATTAATATAATAACTAATATAATTTAATCTTAAATTAATAATAATAAAGTTTAATTGAATTTAAAATAATTTATATATATATATTTTTAATTTTTATATATAAATTTTTTATTAAAAGTTTTAATAAAATTATATATATAAATTAAAATTTATTAAATATTTAATTATATTAAAAATAAAACTATTAAAAATAAAACTATTAAAAAATATAGTGATAATTTTAATATAATACTTAAATTTTTACTAATTATAATTAATAAAATATATATTTTTATTTTTAACTCAAAAAATTATTAAAATTATTAAGTTTAAGAATAAAATATAATAAAAAAAATATTAATATTTTTTATAATATTATAAAATAATTTTAATAATAATAAAATTACTTTTAATTATATATTATAAGCTTTAGAATATATAAAAAAATATAAAAGAAAAGTTTTAAGTATCTTATATAAATCAATATTATTATTTTTTACTGAAATTTTTATTAAATAAATATTTTAAATTTTAAATATAAAGAATTTGAAAAATTATTTTGTTAAATATTATTTGATTAGGTTCAAATTTAAAGTTTTTTATATTTAAATAATAATTAATAATTTTATTTTTTATTCAAAATAAATATAATAAAAGATTTTTAATATATTATATGATATTTATTATATTATATGATATTTATATTAAAATAAGAGCTAAGAATTAATATATAATAATATTAACAAAAATATATAATAATATTTAAATAAAAAATATATAAAATAGAATAATATATAGAAATAAGTAGAATTATATTATAAAGAATAATAATTTGAATACTAATCAATTTTCTATATTTATTTCATTTTGCACTTGCTTTATAATAAATTTCAAATAATTATTTTATAAATTAAAAATAATAAAATGTAATTTGAATATTTGATTCAGAATCATTAATAATATTAGATAATGAACTAGTTGACTTTAATAATAAAACGGTCATAAATATTTAGTGATTTTTATAAGTGAAGATAAAGTTAATAATAAAGAATTTAAGTACTTCTTAACAAAATTAACATTGATTAAGAAATAAAAATAGTTAAATTTTTCTCAAAATCACTAATCTGTTAAATTTGCTAATACAAACATCTTATTTTCCTTTCTTTCTGATTCTCTTTTCATCTTTGTCTTATTCATATTTTCTTATTCCTCTTTTAGATGTTTCTATTGAAAGATTTTTCTTGACAAAATCTCATTAAAACAAAACTTCATAATCAAATGAATATTTGACATACTTAATGTCTAGCTTTAAGCGCCATCTATTGATTGATATATTCAGTTTTCAAAAGCTTTTGATCACTGATATTCAAAAGAATGCTCATATTTTTACGTATTAGTCTCCATAGATGTTATTTTAAATCACAGCCAGGATTAAGTTTAATTAAATCTGTATAAATTATTTCACGAAAATATGATAAATTCCAATTTAAAAATAAACCCAAGTGTGAAATTAGGTGCTCACACAGCACATATTTGTAAACATCATGTGCGCCTTTATTATTTATAAAAATGTTCTTTTACAAGAATAATGCTGTTATATACATCCCAATTAAAATCAAAAATTTTACACTGTTTCGAGACGAGATACATACAAGCTATTTTTCAAAAATTAACGTTTGAATTTTTCCGTTACACATTGATCTTGCGATTTGATGGGTTTGCCCCTTAAAAAATCAAATAATCTGCTTTTATTTCAGTGATGCAATATTTTTGAGCGCCACTGTACATGTACTTGCATGTACAGTACGGAACTACCGTAATCCGCATGTACCGCACGGTGTAATTCGCATATCCCGAATGGGGAAATTACCGTAATTCGCTTTCTCGTGTGACTTAAAACAATGCAATATGAATGATCTTCGGATTATCCATCTTCGGATTAACAAGTTTCACCATGTACATGCACACGTAATGTTAAATACTTATTATTTCAAAGAAATTTCCCTCAGGATTTAATCCCTGAAAAACTTATAATATATTATAAAAATGGAAGATGAAACTATTGAGTACCGTCTTATCAATGGTAGACGCTATCATAATCTTTCGAATTCAATGTATTTTGTAGCAAATGATGACGAAGAAGCCAATCGTTTAAGTAGATATCATGATGGTAAAAAAATTGCTTTAATTCGTGTTTCATAGCTAGAATACTTTATAAATCTTTAAACTTATATAATAGTATATAAATTTTAGCAATAAAAGATATTTGGGGAGGGCTGTTTAATTCACCTGTTGAAGAGAAATTAAGACAAGGAGCTCGTGTTATTGATATTGGGTAAGTATTGGATATTGTTCACTTATAAATATTGAATTTTAAATATGTTAGTATCTCTTTAATTTTATAATTACTAATAAAAAGATGCGGATCTGGAATTTGGATTTTGGTAAGCTGTTTTTATTCTATTGATTTGATATGGTAGAATATGCTACTTTAAATCAATATATTAATTTGTAAAAAACAGGATATGGCACAACAATATCCTAATTCAACGTTCGTAGGAATAGACATATCTCCAATACTTCCATCAGAAGGTTGCCCTACAAATGTGAAGTTTGTTCAGCATAATGTGTTGGATGGATTACCATTTGCAAATTCGTCCTTCGATTTAGTTCACGAAAAATTCATGACTGGCGCTTTTACGGAAACACAATGGAAAGAGAAAATTATTCCAGAAATGATAAGGTTAGCTCGACCAGATGGATGGGTTGAGAGCTTAGAATGTGAGATTACTTCATCTGACGAAAGCGTTACAATGAGGGTTACAAAAGCTCGTAAGTAAAGCAATATTTCATGGCATTAATTAAATAACAAGTTTTATTTAATTTGTATTCTTTTTAGTCCATGATTTTATGAGATTAAAGGGAATGAACCCTACAATTGGAAAAGAAATTCCGCACATTTTTGAAAACACAAACGCGTTTTTAGAAATCAGAGATCAACTTAAAATTATAGATCTTGGTACAAAACATGATAAATCTGCGGAAGAGGTGAATATGAGCCTAACGAATTTATTTATCAAAATATAATATTATATGCTTTCTTAATCTAAATTCTCTCTTCTATTTAATTTACTTCATTAAAGTCTCTAAAATTTTATATTGGTGGTCTCAAGTCTGCTAAAGGTTTTTTAGCGAACTCAATGAATGTCACGCCCGAAGATTATGATGCCCTCTTAGAAACAATATATTTTGAGACAGAAAAACATTCTACTTATTGTAACCAATATAGAATCTGTGCTCATAAGAAAATTCAAATTTAATAATTAGCATTTAATATCTTTGTCTTTTACAAAATATATTATTATTGCTTCAAAGTAAGACAAAAAATGTGTCCGCCATGAAAAGTATTAGTAATAGACAAAGGGAGAGAAGAGAAAGTTCAACAAATATAATTATTAAAGAATTATCATTTATGTTTAGCTCGAATTTTAGATTAGTATAAAGAAAGCTTGATTGAGTTTTTGCGTTAAGACGCACATATATCCTAACATTTTGTGATATTTAAAACGCAGTTTATAATATAAACAATTAAATTTGAGTTATTTTATGTAATTCACACAATATTGGTACTAAATGATCCGAATATTTTTACAAGGATATGAATGGAAAAGTTTTTCTCTCTGTAAGAAAATTTGATCTGTAAATCATCTGCAATATTGCTGGTAATTACAGTGGTTTTTGCAGTTTATTATAAAGACAACTGTAAAATCCCTGTATTGTGGCAATCATAATTAATGCAACAAAAAAATTCTTGTCAAATTGAAATATTCATGAAAATTATAATATATCCTTTTTGTATTTATAATAATTTTGCTTTTAATAGTATTATTTTAATATATTAAAATCTTAATAGTTATTATTATTTTCTATTTTCAGATAAATGCAGAATTAAAATCAAATTTGTGTTGCATGGTGGCCCCGCCCCGCCGCGGCCGGCGATACCGATCGTGAGGTGCCGGGCCCCCGAAGAGCCCGGCTTATTTATGATCATCTCATGCAAAGATCAGATGATCATAATTATATAATATAAATATCATATAAAAGATAAGTTATTATGTATTATTTATATATAATATTATAGCTTTTTGGATAACAAACTAAAATATAAAGATGTTATATAACTCTAGAAGTGCATGCACAAATTCTTCTTGTTCTTCAAAATAAATATATAACAAGACAAATAGTAAAATTAAAAAATATCAGCTTCTTAATAATCTTTTATATTAATAAAAGATGATATAAATAATATTATCTTGAAAATATAGTAAAATATATTTAAAAAAAGAAAATATAATTATTATCTATTATTTATTATATATTATAAAATAATAGAAATAAAAAAAATCTATTTAAGTAAAAAGTATCAAAAATAATAATTAGAATTTGTATAAAATTATGAAAATTAAATTGTTAAAGATTAATTAAAGATTATATAATTTGACAAGTTCAAGTTTAAAATTTTTAATTCAAATAAAAAATAATATTATTAAAAATATTCAAAGAATTATTAAATCAATTTTATATATAAATTTGAAGATAAGTTAATAATAATTTGAAATTAATTTATATTTTAAAGTATTAGTAATTTTTATAAAATTAATAATATTATAATTATTAAATTATATTAATAAATACTTTATAAAAATTATAAATATTATTAAAATTATGAACTTACTTTTAGAAATATTATTTTTTAACAAGATAAAACTTTTAAAATATAGTAAATTTAATAAAATAATAATTTAGAAATAATTAAGTTTAAATTTTAAATTAATTATTATAATCTTCTAATTTAAATCTTATTAAATATTTATAAAATAAGATTAATTATTATTTTTAATATATTTCTAAAGAATTTCAAGTAAGAAAGACTTGTAAATTAAAATATAATAAATTCAATAAAAAATTAATATTAAAATCTATATTAAACTAATTTATTTAATAATTTTAATTAAGTTATATTTATTTTAATTTAGATTTTTATTTTATATTCTTTATATTATATCTTTTATATTACTTATCTTAAAGATTATTTTTACTTTGAATATATAAATAATTATTATATATTTAATTAATATATATATTATTATATATTTTCTAATTATTAATTTAGATAATTAATATTTTTAATTAGATTTCTTTTAATTATTCTTTTATAATTTTATTTATTCTTATTTGTTATTATTTATATTATTTATAATTATTATTAATTTATTAAATTATAATTTATTACTTTCTAAAGATATAAATTAAGTTAATTAATTTTATTTAATTTATATATAATTTATATTAATAATTTATTATAAACTCTCATAAATAAGTAATTCTTTATATTATTATTTTAAAATATATTTTTTATAAATATTACTTATTTATAAAATTTTTTAAATACTTAATACTTATTGAACTAATAATTAAATTATTAACTATATATATATTTATTATGAATTTTAATTAATTACTATAAATATAATTATATAATATATTTCAAATTTAATTAAATTGATAAATAATAATTTTTAATATTTCTTATTATATAAAAAGAAAAATAAATAATACTTTTATTAATATTATTTAATTTAAATTCAATAATTATATATAAAGAACTTTATATAAGATATTTAAAAAATTTATTATTATTAAAAAAGTCAAGAAATTTGATATTTTAATTATGATATATTAATTTAATATTAATTAATTAATAATATTATAATAAATATAATAAAAAAAGTTTAGTAATTTAATATTGATAAGTTGATATATTAATATTATAACTAATTATCTATTTATATAATATAGTAGAAGTAGTATAATAATATAATATAGTTATAGTACATAATATAATTATTAATTATTATTAAATTAGATAAAAAAAAAATTTATATTAATTAATTTGATTTATTTTTAATTTTATTTTTAATTTAATTTATTATTTATATTTAGTCTTAATTCTTTTATTAATTTAGCTATATATATCACACTTAATTTATAATTTATTAAATTAATAATTTTTTAATTAATTATTATTAACTTTTCTTTCTTTTTTCACTTTAGTCATAAATATCTTTAATATTTCACTAATTTTAATTCTTAATTATTATGTATTTAATTTAGAAAATATTCTTTATAATAATTCTTTTGAGATTCTATTTATTTTTAAGTAAATTAGATGAAATATTATGTTAGAAATAATTTATAATTAGTATAATAAGAAAATATTATATATAAAGAGTTAAGAAATAATCAAAAAGAATAATTAAATTTGATAAAAGTAGTTAATTACTAAATTAAAAATAGTTAATTAATATTTTTTTTAATAAATATATATATTTTATCTTATATCTTACTTTTATTTTTTCTTACTCTATTAAAAAAGTATTTTATTAGAAGTAAAACTTGTATAAATTATCTTATTGAGAAGATAATAAGTTATTTCAATCTTCTAAAATTATAAAAGAAAATAATTATTATGAATATAGTTACTCTTACTATTTTAAAATATTTATATATACATAAACTTAAAATAGTAATAATACTATTATCTTTATTTATAGATCAAAAAATATCAAAGTATAAGCTAATAATAAAATTAGATTAGAATTTAGTTATAATTTAATTTATATTTAAGATAATAAATTATAAATCTACTAGCAAATGCAAAATACTTTATTATATATTTTAATATTATTGAAGATAAAGAAGAAATTAAAGAAAAATTCTTGACATATAATTTAAAGTTTTAATATTATAAATTAATAATAATAATATTTAAAATATCTTTTTTTTTAAAAAAATAATTTTATTTTAATTTTTTTAATAAAATAATACTTTATTTATTATTAAATTAAAATAATATAAAAAATTAATTTAAATTATTTTTTATTTAATATAAAAAAATTATAAAGATTAATTAAAATTTGAATAATTTTTATTAAAAATAATTATTAATTTTTATATTAAAATATAAATCTTTTTGTATTAATTTATATTTATAAATAAAAACTGAATTTATTTTTTTAATATTATAATTTTTAAGATTAAATTTTTTAAATAAATATATAATAAATATATTTTTATATTAATTTAAATTTTATTTTATATTTTTTATTTTAATATATTAATTTAAATAAATTATTTTTAATAATTTATATTAATTAAATATTAATTTTTTAAATATATTATAATTAATAAAAAATTATTTAGATTATATAAAGCTTTTTATATAAATATATTAATATTTATTAAAAATATTTTATTTAAGATTATTTACTAAATAATATTAATATTATTTATTAAATTTTTTGAGTTGTAATTCGAGATATTATTAAGATTTTTTATTAAATTATATTTTTTATTCTTAAATATTAAAAAAATATACAAATTATTTTTTATTTTTAAATGAAAATTATTTTTTTATTAATTTTTATTTGATTTAATAAATAATTAAGTTTTTTTATTTCTGATTCTATATTATAATTTTTCTTATTTTTATAAGTTCAGATTAAATAAAAAGAAATAAAATAAGAAAATAAAAAATAATAAATATTTTTAAGTAATAAAATATAAATAAATAAATAGTTTATTAAATAATTAATAATATTAATTAAAAATATTAAATCAATTCTAATTAATTAAATTATATTATTTCAAATTTAATATAAAATTTAAAATAAATCAAAATTAAATAAATTTTTCAGATTAAAAATAATAATTCAAATTAAAAATAAAATATTAAATTTGATTTAAATTACAATTAATCCAAATTAAATTAAGATTTATTTCAAATAATTTAAGAAATAAATTAAAAAACTTGAATTATTTAAAATTTTATTTAGTATTAATTTTTTCTTTATTTTAATTTTTATATAATTTTAAATATTTTTTTCTTTTATTATATAATTTTAGTAAAATTAATATAAAACTTGAATATTTTTATATATTTATTATCTCTTTCAATTATATATATATATTTAAAAGATCTTTAAAAATCAAGATTAATTCTTGAACAGTTTGAACAGCTTGTTCAAGTTTCTTTTGAAAAAATTATTAATAATTTAATTATATAAATATTTGAACAACTTTTGAACTGGTTCAAGAGCCAAGCCTAAATTTAAAACATATATACTTATAATAATATATTATCTATCTTCTAATCAAAATCTTTATTCTTGTTGAGAAATCTTTGATTATTTCATCTTATTGAACAAATATAAGTATATAATAATTTTAAAAGTCTTATTATGAATTATATCAAAATAATAATATATTATATAAATAAATAATATTAATGAATGATTTAAAAACAAGTAAAAAAAAAAATAAATATTAAAAAACAGCTAATTGATACTGATTCTACATTATTTTTTTATCAAAAATTTTCAGTAATGAAACAAGTAATCAAAAATAATATCAGGCTTTAAAGACATGTTAGTGAATAAAAAAGGTAAAGAATCGTCATTGTATTTCTCATTATTATCAAAATTGTATGTCAATTACGTATATCTGTTTTCTACCTACGAATTCTCGTTATCGTTATAAAATTATTTCAAATGTCATTTCTGGTAATATGAATGAAAATAGCTTTCCATTACATCCAACTCATAAAGAAAGAATTTGATATTTCTGGGTATTAAATTAATCATCTGGTTCAAATAGCAAGTAAAAAAGTTGGGAAAACTCCGATTATAATACTTGGCAAAAATGAGGCAGTGTAAATTCAAACTAATAGATAGTTTTGTAGCCAAACCGCGCCATCCCATTACACTTTGTTGTCGTTAGTCAGTGAGGCTTGCATTAATTGGATTAACAATAAGCCTCAGTTTTATTTAAAAAAACAAGTTAGGAGCCAGCTTATTTATTATACGCGTTTTACTATAATTGTAAAATATTGAGTGTAAAGATTATCTGGATTTATTTCTATATCTACTGGTTCGCTTATTTTACATTAAATGCTTGGATTATTTTTGTTATTTATTCATAGCCACTTTATATTTTAACTTTCTCGTTTAACGATAATTATTAAAAAAAGAGTGCCTCATCAAGATATTTTTGATTTTTACCTTCAAGGGAAAGACATTGAGAGATATTCACATTTTATATATCCTGCTTATTCACTTAACTTTTTATAGTATAGCCGTAACTATCATTATGAATTAGGAGTCTAGTTGACATAAAAAACGCCGCTGCTTGTCGCTTTTCGTTCGTAACTTAAAAAAAGATATTCGAGAAACAGCAAAGAAAGGTTTCACAATAAAAAAAAATCATCCAAATTTTAACAGATAGACAGGGGGAAGAGAGCAACACACAGAAGAAGAGCAATAAATAAAATAAACAAAATCAAAAAAAACAAAAATTTTTATCCATCCTTTATATGTACCAGATATATATATTCGTCAACACAAATTATTCACCTCTCACCTTTTATCTCTCTTGTATATAGTAGCAAATAATGGCATCAAAAACTCATCCAGAACCAAATAATTCGTTCCTCGTGGAAATCTCACAGATCGAACAGAGTATCAACGATATTCAAAAAAACATTTCACTTATTAAAAACCTTCAAGATCAACTTTTAATCTCTACTTCGGCTTATCAAGCAAGATCATTTGCGAGTCAACGTGATGATCTACTCAATTCTACGAGAACGTTATTAATCAATGTGAAGGATCGTATCAAAAAGATTGAATATGAAAATACGCGTATCCCCTCGACGAATCCTGAGTTTGGATTACGAAAACAACGACATCAATATCTTAAAGAGAAATTTACAAATGTATGGTTTTATTTGATTTTGATTTCATTGACTTTTTTTTAATGGCTTAACACAATATTTAAATTTCTATAATCAACAAGATTCTCGATGATTACCGTGGGCTCGAAGATCAATATATGCGTCAACACATGGAACGCTTAGCGAGACAATACCGAGTGGTGAATCCAGAGGCAACAGAAGCAGAAATCAGTGATTACCTATCAAACCCATCAAATGAACCCGTATTTCAAACAGCTCTACTGAGATCCGGTGAAGCGCGTGAAGCATTAGCAGAAGTACAAAAACGCCACGAAGATATTAAACAAATAGAAGCGACAATCACGGAATTGGCACAGCTATTTCAAGAGATGCAACTGCAAGTTGAAGCGCAAGATGAAGTTCTGGTGGCTGTAGAAGAGAATGTCGATGTTACTTTGATAAAGACGGAGAAGGCTGAAGAAGAGTTAGCACACGCTGTTGGATTCGCAGAAGCTGCTAGAAAGAAGAAATGGATTTGTTTGGGGATTTCGATTGTTATCGCGCTTATTATTGTGATTGTGTTGGCATTGAAATTTGGTGGAACTTTTTCTACGAGTAGTCATAATAATAATGAGAATAATGCTAGCGCTTCTACTGTTACTGTCACAAAATCTTTTTCTCCTACGCCTACAGTCGCATCAGCTGCTTCCCCTTCAAAAACCGTATCAACTGCTCTTCCTTCAAAAACTTGAAACTATTTCTATATATTTATATTATTACGATTTTGAAATGTAAAAAATTCTATTTTTGTAGATTATATATACATATATTTCTTATATTTTCTATCAAGTACGAGTGCATAACAAAACAATGTATTTAAATAATCCCATTAATATTCATTTCTTCCAGAAACGGTGAATTTAAAACTATTCGAATGCAAAAAGTATATCGATATCGATAATTCAAGATGATGTAATAGACTTAAATTCACGTGGAAAATTTTTTCTTATAAAAAAGGTCATTTGCACAATCAATTAACTTATACCTTTTATACCTTTAGTTTTTGGCTTGTCCAGATCAAGAGCATACCCAGTTCTTTATCGTTTTCTGCTATCAGCCTTTTCTCTTCATTTACCATTAAGAAGGTCAAATTTGATTATTTAAATAAAAAAAAAATTTAAAAAATATCAACAATAATGTCCTCCGTATCAAAGCAAAAGCGCCTGGCAAAGAAAGCAGCAAAAAATGCCGCTGGTTCTACAACACCTACAAAATCGACTGCTTCTCCAGCTGTTGCTACTAGCAATGGTAACACTAAAAACGGCAAGGCTAGTAATAGTAATGGAAACGTCACGCCGTTATCAAACTCTTCAGCGAGGTCATCTGTGGAAAATTTGAGTACAACGTTAGATGCCTTAAAGTTGTCGAGTGAACGCACAGCCACTGGTGTGCTCGGTACGCAGCTTAGATCGCGCGATATCAAGATTGAGCAGTATAATTTGTCGTTCTTTGGTCGTGTATTGATTGAAAACGCATCGATCGATTTCAACTTTGGCAGAAGGCATGTATTTCTTGAAGAAAATTGTTCATAAGAGTTATTTGAATTATATTAACCGGGGATTTTTTGACGTTATCGAATACTCATAGATATGGTCTTGTTGGTGCTAATGGATCGGGGAAGAGTACATTTTTGCAATCATTGGCGGCGAGAGAAGTTCCAATTCCCGAGCATATTGATGTAAGTTTTTAATAATAAATTTTTCTTGTTTTCGCTGCAAATAAGTAACCTCTTTATTTGATATTACAAATTGCAGATATACCTGTTAAATCAAGAAGCGGAACCCACCGATCTAAATGCCACGGAATATGTAATTCAGGCTGCGAGGGATGAGGTCGTCCGGTAAGTAACTGATTATGATTACCTTGTTAATTTATCTTAGATTAATCCGCAAAAATCTCTATTCATTCAGTCTTGAAAAAGAGGTAGAAGATTTGCTTGCGGAAGAAGATGGCGCTGATGATCCACGTCTGGAAGATTTGTATGATCGTATTTCAGCTTTAGACGAGTCAACTTTTGAATCACGTGCGAGCACGTTGCTTTATGGTTTAGGATTCGCAAAAGATATGATGCGCAAAAAGACGAAAGATATGTCTGGTGGATGGAGAATGAGAGTCGCGTTAGCGAAGGCTTTGTTCATCAGACCTACCTTACTGTTGTTGGATGAACCAAGTAAGTTGATTAGAAGAATTTGTTTGTGTGAATTTAAAATCATATCTCTAATCTGTGTGTTTTTTTTTTTAGCAAATCATTTGGATTTGGAAGCTTGTGTGTGGCTTGAAGAATATCTGAAAAATTACAATCGTATTCTTGTTCTAGTTTCACATTCGCAAGATTTCCTTAATGGAGTATGCACAAACATTATAAAGTAATTATATTTTTTTTCTTTCTTCTTGCCCTTTATGTTCAATACTAATCGCTTTTATTTGATATTTGTATATAGTCTTAATCATCATAAAAAATTAGTTTATTATGGTGGTAATTATGATGTGTATGTTCGTACCCGTGCTGAACAGGTAGATATAAATTTACAATAAATCGTTTTCAATATACAGACAAACCCCTTTACAGTCACCGCTATTTTATAATCACATCCTTTTATAGTCCCCATTCTAAGTTATATTAGACATAAGAAAAAAAACCCTCTTATAGTCAAATCCTCTACCTATAGTCACCCTTTTACTTTCTCGAGGGTGGTGACTGTAAAGGGTTTGATTGTATATAGTTTCTTCTCTTATATAATTAATATTTAATGCGTATTTTTACTTATAGGAAACAAATCAAATGAAAGCATATTATAAACAACAGGAAGAAATTGCTCACATCAAGAAATTCATCGCGTCAGCTGGTACCTATGCCAATTTGGTAAGTCTTCATTTAATATTTTATCATATTTTCCTAATACATGAACTGTATATTAATAATTACAACAAATATAGGTCAGGCAAGCCAAAAGTAAACAAAAAATTATTGATAAGATGGAAGCGGCCGGTTTGGTCGAAAAGGTAATATTGTTTTTCCCCTTGTACACATTGTCTAAATAAATATATTGCTAAAATAGCATACTAAATTTAGATGTTTATTTCCTTTAGGTTGATCCACCCGCTCTTTTCAAATTCAAATTTGAAAACGTCGAGAAATTGCCACCTCCCGTGTTGCAATTTGATCAAGTATCTTTTTCCTATGATAAAAACTCTAAAAATCTTTTATATGAAGATTTGGATCTTGCAATTGACATGGATTCTCGTATAGCTCTCGTTGGGCCTAATGGTGTAGGAAAAAGTACCTTGCTCAAATTGATGATGGGAGAATTACAACCTAACTTGGGAAGAATAGCTAGACATACTAATTTAAAATTGGCAAAATATAATCAGCATAGGTATGTTGACGTTGTTTTGTTAATTTTTAAATTTTGCTGTTCTTTATATAGAATTAGCACGTAATAAGCTTGGTTTTTTTGTATTCAGTGCCGATCAACTTGAAATGGATTTAAGTCCAATTCAGTACATGAGAAAGAAATTTGCTCATCTCAATGCCGATGTAGACGTAAGTTTTATACTCTTAATTTTAGTTGACGATTATGGTAGTATATTTTATTTTAGGTAAAAAAAAGCTAATTTATTTTGAAACAAAATAGTTTTGGAGAAGTCAAATTGGTCGATATGGGCTTACTGGAGCTCATCAAACCTCACCAATTGGTACACTCAGTGACGGCCTAAAAACTCGGTTAGTATTCGCTGAGATTGTATTAATGACACCCGATATCATTCTAATGGACGAACCGACAAATCATTTGGTATGTCAAGCTATACATATTTATTTTAGGTTTTGTTACTTTTTTTTTTAATGTTAAAATGAATAATAAAATATTTGTTTTAGGATATGGAAAGTATTGATTCCCTAGCCAAAGCCATCAAAGAATTTACTGGTGGTGTTGTGCTAGTATCCCACGACTTTCGATTAATATCACAAGTCGCTGAACAGATCTGGTTATGTAAGGACAAAACGGTCACACCTTGGAATAGTTCTATCGAGGCTTACAAGAAACATCTAGCAAAGAGCGTAAAACTTTAAAGATTGATGGTTCCTTTACTACTTAATTTAGGATTCGCTATAGACATTTGCCATATTATAAATAGATAATTAAAAATAGATCTCCATTCAATATATTTTATTGGTTATTGTGACATCATAATGATGGCATAAATGAAAGAAACATTTGATTTGATTATTCAGCTGTTCATAAATGCACAAGTTTTTAGCAAAAATTAACTGTTTAGGACCTAGAAGATATTTAACTGCAAACGCTATTTTGGGCGTGGAACATGTATTTGATTTTTTTAATACCGTGCTTAACCCTTCTGTTGTATGAATTCGTGGTTTTAATTGAATCAACTAAAAATATGTAAGAATCCAAATAAAATATTAGAATCAGAATCAAAATCCGTATTGCCAAAGACACGATTTGAATGCTTTATATCGAAAATTAAGGATCCATGGACAAATCTGGCACTTGAAGAATGGTGTGTTAAAGAGTTTTTTTTTTTTCCATAAAATCATGTATATTAAAGGATGGAGATTCTTTAATGATCCTTTTCTACCTTATCTATGCATTTTGTAAATTTGATGAAAAGAAAAGGTTATTTCGTGATTATAATCCAATTTCATCATTTGATCATTTGGGTAACAAAGAAAAGAGTAGAGAGAGGAACGCGATTTTGTTGTATTTATGGCAAAATACAAAGTGTGTGGTGATTGGTCGGAATCAGGTATACATTCTTTATAAATACAACGAACTATGAAAGCAATATAAATCATTTGAATCGAATCTTTAGAATCCATGGAGTGAATGTAATATGAGATTATTGCGTGCTGATGGGATACCGCTTGTAAGGCGAAAGAGTGGTGGTGGTGCGGTTTATCATGTGAGAATAATGAAAGCTTACGAATTTGCTTGTTTCTTATTAAGTAAATTAATGCTTTATTTTTTACAGGATCATGGCAATACAAACTACACCGTAATAATGCCACGTGCACGATTTACACGTCGTGAGAATGCCAAAATTGTAGCCAAGGCCATACGTGATGGATTTGGGATTCGGGAGGCATATGTTAATGAGCGACATGATATTGTTGTTAACGGGTTAAAGATATCCTTATACTTGCATAATTTCATTGGATTCTATTAAATTCTTTATCTTTGACTTCCGGATGAATTTTTTGTTTTTACGTTTCCGGTTCTGCATTTAAATTAGTTCATGACCGGGCTTATCATCATGGAACCATGTTAATTGAATCTGATTTGAAGGATATTGGACGATATTTACGTGCTGAAAACAGGGTATTATTAATTTGAATTAAAGTATTTAATAAAATTTAAAAATTACTTACTTGGAATATTAACGAAAATCAACAGCAAAATTTAACATCCAAAGGCGTAGAATCTGTTCGATCTCCAGTCACAAATTTGAAAAAATATTCACCCGAGTCTGGTCCTTTTATCATTGATCATGATACATTCTGTCGAGTGGTTCATAATGAATTTTTGAGGTATTATTCTTATGCTGCTGACGAAGACATTGAGGTATTATTAACACAGAGATTCTTCAATGATTTAACTATGTGGAAAAATATTTATAATAGCAACTTAATTCCCTCCAAATAAAGAAAAATCTAGATCCAATAATAGTGGATGATCAATACATATCAAAAGTTCCTAAAATACTCGAGTATCGTGATGAACTAAAGGTATTAACTTTTGCTGATTCCGGATGAGCCTTCAATTAGCATCTCTTGTAACAGCATCAATTCTTTCTATAATTACTAAAAGAGCTGGGAATGGACGTATGGTCAAACACCAGAATTCACGCACAATCTTGAACGCGAATTTCCATGGGGGCACGTGGTAAACATATTATTCATTTCTAATTTCCCAGCATAATTTCAGTTAAACTTTTTAATTTGAACAAATTTTTTATTGACATAAAATTTCTGATGAGTAGAAAGCTTTTATTAAATCAAGAAATGGTCTAATTACTGCTGCCGCATTAACTACATCAAATTACGAATATGACTTTGTCCTAAACGCATTTGAAGATGCATTAGATGGTATGTTTATTAAAGAAAGGTAAATTATTTTTTTTTAACACAATAACATTAATTACGCTCATTTTATAGCAATTAAATATGCTGATCATGATGCGATTGATCAAGCTTACCTTTCAGCACACGAATCACTTTTGAATTATACTGTGACGTGGGAAGAGGATCGGCGAGTAAGTGCCATTCGAGATTTGGCCGAGTGGTTAAAGGATGTATTATGAGTTAAAAAGTTTTTACTTATAGCTACAATCTTGTACACTAATCCTCACGACTATATTTATTTAATAATGAATAATATAAAGATGGCGAATTGATCTTTATGTGAAAATTATTTATACAATAACCTATCGAATAGTAATAAATGCAAAATTTCTTTGTCATCTGTGCTGACCGAAAACCTTTGCGGCAAATTATTAATAATATTAAATATTAAAATTCGTAGATTAATATCAGCTACGGCCATACACAGTGAAAAGCACCGGAACCCGTCCGATCTCCGAAGTTAAGCCACTGATGGCCCTGTCAGTACTGCGGTGGGGGACCACGCGGGAATACGGGGTGCTGTAGTTTTAGTTTTTGATTTTTTCTCAAATAGACACAAGAACGTGACCATAATACACGTGACAACAATGACTGATAGTTTCGAATCTTCGATTTTAAATATCGATATGGCTCAATGCTTTATATCTTGTGTATTATTTTTGATTGGCTGTATTACATGCAACAATGGCGCAGTATTTGAATTAAGTATTCGTTACGTAGCCTATGATCTTAGGAATGTCATAATGGAAAATTACGCAAAATGCATGCAAAAAATGGACATTATGTGTAAACAAATAAGACCGCAATACATAGTATCGATTTTGCAAAAGGTTCTTTTCCCAGCAGTTTCGGTAAAACCAACCTCTTTTTAGATTATCTTATCGAACATTATATTTAAAAGAAAGAGACATTACATTAATTATATAGTTAATCATGTCAATAATTTATTTATTTGGTTTAATTATAAAATACATATGAACACGATATTGAGATTCTATCATTGTGTTTTAACCTCACCATCAGCCTCTATGGTATCAATGTGCGGATCCTTCTGAGCAGAGAATACAGCTGTAATTTTTTTTAATCATTTATTTCATTAATGAATAAATTAAAAAATATATGCATATAAAAACTCAAATAACTCACTGAAATTAGCTTCTGGCATGGTTACCATGAGACCCTTGTATAGTTTATTCCTGACTACTTTAGCACCTTGAAAATTGATGTTTGTTGTAATTAAAAAGTATGGATAAAACTTTATCTCTATATATAATTTACCTTGGGCCTTAAAGTCTGCTTCATGCTTATCGATAACCGAGCTTGGTGTGTCGGGTTTATACAATACATTGTAGGTTTTATCTAATTTGAACATAATATTAGAAGCTTACAAAACCAGAAACGCCACAAAAATAATAATAAATTAGAATTCAACCTGACATATTCGCTGGAGTTTTTTTGAAGAATAAATGACGCGCGCGCGAAAAAAACTTCTGAAATATCTTTGTAAATGCAGAAAAAACTGTGAGTTTTAGAGAAAACGCTCGTTGCCTCCTGTTATAAAAGTGTTTAATATCACATTTTTTTTTGACGTCATTTTGCCTTTTTTAAAAAAGCGAGCGCGTGTATGTTCATAAGAATGACCATAACAATGGTTTTTTTATTTGATTATACCCCCAAAAAAACCAAATTGAACGTATAAAACATGCAACAAACTTGTTGGTTTGATTTTGAGACGCGTGCTAACTATTATTGTCTATTCAATGATCGATTATCTTGCAAACGATAGATCTTTTCTATCTAAGGACAACATTTATTTCGAGCACGTGGAAAGTATTAGAACTTTTGATGCGAAAAAATTAATGATACAAATGCTTTAAAAAAAACATTAAAGTTCCAATTAGCTTATAAATCAGAAATTACGAAAATCAAAAAAAAAAAGAAATTATAAACCATACCAAATCCGAATAAAACAAAATTAATAATCACAAGGCAAATATTAGGAATTTATCGTTTAATAACAACAACAATAATAATAGAAGGAAATGGTAACATAAATTTACAATTAATTATAAAAATGGAGAAAAAAATTTATCGCCTGCTTTCAAACACCCGAATAACCGCGTCCACCATGAAAAGCCCTAGCCAAATATTTAAACATATCCTAGCGGAACAGAAATCAGTGAGAAAATGAAAAATATGTGATCGTTCAAGTATATAACATGAGAAGATACTTACCGAAATCAAATATGGTACATCTCGCCAGAAATCCCTAAATGTCACAATACATTGAAATTAGAGCGCCTTGTATTTGGTAAAAATACAGTATATTATAGATTATTACCTATTTGGTATTAGATCCCATCCTTGCGCTCGATAGACATGATAATTGTATGCGGCACCAATACCCAAATATGTCAAAATAAGAATGAGAAATCTGTAAAAAAAGGATTATATAAAAGAATTAGAATTCTATGAATTTCGCGCGAGATATCAAAATAGCAAGAAAATAACGATAATTCGTACATGGTCAAAAATTTCGTAAAACCACCACGTCCTCCATTATTTTCGTCTGGTTCACCATATTTTTCGCTGAAAAATGAAATAAAGATTAAAATAGAATCAAGAATAAACTTTAGATAAAATAAAAATAGATAATACTTACCCACAAGCATGTGGCGTCTTCCATTCGACCTCTAATATACCTTTCTCATAGCTTTTAAAGGTAGGTTTTTTCTTCTCTTCGGAATCCTATTAAATGAAATATTGAGCATTATTTCTCATAAAACATTATAATGAGCAGAGCTAGATTTAAATACCTTATCACAAATAAACGTAAATTTAGTTTGATGCGTCTCTCCTTGTTTATCGGTACCAGCATTCAGAGTCAGCAAAAGAGGAGCTAAGAAAATAAGAAATGTTCATTACCCAAATCAATCAAACCCCGAAATGGTAATTTGATAGTAATAAGTTACCATGTGGATTGTCAATATTTTCTGAGGATCCAAGTGAAAAAGTTGCATTTAATAATTCATTTTTTTCATCATCAGCTGCAAGTTGTTGTACTTTAGCGACAAATCGTATCTCTTTTTTTTCTTCTTCTTTGTCTTTGTCTTTTTCTTCTTTAATAAATACCGATACTCGACAGACATATGTATTTTCTGCGCAATAATCTTCTTCGTTATCTTTATCTTCATATAATGAAGTATTTAGTGGTTTACATGGACTAAGGTAATATAACTCCTCCTTTTTTGTCGGAGGTGTCGCCTGTGATTCTTTTATCATTTCTCTATTTTAAAAAGTAAACATGAGTCAAAATTCAACTAGGCAATCGATGTCTATAATTTACGCTTTGAACTACACGGTGAAAGTCGATATAACGTTCCGTTCGTTTGAACCGATATATCGACGGATCCGTTATAAGCCAGACATATAGTTTACTTCCAAAAAAGAAAGCCAAAACCCCGTTATATCTGTCGCCCGTTATATCGACTTTCACCGTGTAGTTAGAATTAAACTTACTGTTCAAGATCCGTTAGATTGAATTTGTAGCCACCTGCTTTGATATCTGAACAATCTATAGCGTCAACATTATGAAAGCTAAGCAGATTAGAGAAAGCAATCACTGCTAAATTCAATAAATACAGATGTCTTCTCATTATAATACTGATAATTTGGTTCCGAAACGCGAAATGCACTTAAAGTTTATTTTTATATAAATCTCAAAAGGAATAATGTTTATATTTTATCACCAGAATGGTAGTTGTGCGAAATTCTAGAATTTAGTCATGTGAAACATTATCCGGAGAAGACCAAAGACGCGCGTTAATTTCATGAACATTTAAATTATTTTGGACTTTTGAGGTTAGCATCGGAAAGTTTGTTATTTTCCACATTACATAACTGAAAATTATTTATTATTAAATAGATTAAATAGTACAATTAAAAAAAACAATCCAAAGTTCTCATTTTAAAAATCCAAATGTTGCTATCGGGTGCAATTATGTACGTCTTATCAATAAATTTTTCGGTAGCGCGTAGCTAAGCTTTTTATATTTCATTTTTCTAGAATCCCTTGCATAAGATGTGCGGATACGTTCGATAATCTTTATCTATCCTTTAAATCTTCTAAATACTTGATCAACTGAATCACGTCTACCGCTCATATCTAATCGTTATAACAATACCTCTTCATCCTGAAATAAACCTTGACCAAAAAATTCAAAAAATTCTTTAATATTCCGTTTCCTTTATTATTCTACATTCTAAATACACCAAATCGTGTCTTCTCAATGGGAGCGTTCAGAGAAGCAGAGAGCGCTAATCCTATAACGCTACGGGTATCGATTGGGTCAATTACACCATCATCCCAAAGACGAGCTGACGAATAGTAAGGATGTCCTTCGAGCTCGTATTTTTCACGAATAGGATTTTTGAAGTTTTCTTCATCTTCGACTGACCACTATAAATAATTTGTAAATAAATAAATGATCAGACAAACGAGGATGAAAATATGTACAGACCTCCTCTCCTTTTTTGGCTTTAGCCTCTCTTTTCACTGTAGCCAACACACTGGCAGCTTGTTCACCACCCATTACAGAAATTCGTGCATTCTAAATTAATAATCATATCTATAAAATGTATTAATAAATAAAACAGATTTTTCACAAAAAAAATTGTTTACCGGCCATAGCCACAAGAATCTAGGACTAAAAGATCTCCCACACATCCCATAATTACCAGCGCCAAAACTACCACCAATTATCACAGTGAATTTAGGAACTTTGGCACACGATACAGCCATGACCATCTTAGCACCGTGTTTCGCAATACCACCTGCCTCTGCGGAAGATCCAACCATAAATCCCGTGATATTTTGTAGAAATAATAATGGGATCCCGCGTTGTGCACATAGTTCGATAAAGTGCGCACCCTTGAGTGCTGATTCAGAAAATAGGATGCCATTGTTTGCAACGATGCCAACTGGATATCCGTGAATCCGTGCAAACCCTTATTTTATCGAGTAAAATTATCTATTATGACATATTATTTTGTATAAATAAAAAGGCTTGGTGTTTAAATATTACCAGTAATTAATGTCGTTCCATAGAGTTCTTTGAATTCGGCAAAACGGCTACCATCTACAATCCGTGCAATGACATTTTTAACGTCAAAGGATTTACGAAGATTATCGCCTACTATGCCACCGATTTCGGATGCTGGATATATAGGATCTTCAGGTGGTTGTATTGTAACCTGTAATTAGAAGGAAATAAACCTCTTAGATGACCGTTGGTAAGTTTAGAATACATGAATTACGTACATTCGGTTGTTTTCTCCAGTTTAAATGTTCGACAACACGACGAGCAAGAGATAGTGCATGTTCATCATTTAACGTGTAATAATCAGTGACACCAGAAGTGCGACCTATTATTTTTTAGTGATCTATTTTTATGTACGCGAAAGTATTAATTTAATGGAACTTACAATGCAAATCTCCACCACCCAGCTCTTCTGCGGAGACAGTTTCTCCCGTAGCAGCCTTTACTAATGGTGGACCAGCCAAAAATATAGTCCCTTGCTTGGAGACAATAATACTTTCATCTGCCATAGCTGGCAAATAAGCGCCACCTGCTGTACAAGAACCCATGACGACGGCTATTTGAGGAATTCCTTCCGCGGAAAGATTAGCCTTTTTTTGATAATTATAATTGAGGAAATCGAGGAAATTGGATTGTCTATTTTATTATTGGAATGTGGACCGAACATGGACCGAACCTAAAAATACCTGATTATAAAATATTCGCCCAAAATGATCTCGATCGGGAAAAACTTCAGCTTGGTGAGGCAAATTTGCACCACCGGAATCAACTGAAGAAAATAATACGATTAATAATGTCTAATATTATACCTAAAAGTCAATAAATGTACATTACCTAGATAAATGCATGGTAATCTATTCTCCTTTGCAATTTCTTGAGCACGTAAATGTTTCTTTACTATTATTTTTCAATTTCAAAATTTGTCGATTCCTGCATTGAAAACTCATGACTATTCGTAAAATCCACCCCGACTATAATAAGGCAACAAATACTTTACCTGTAATCGGATAGTATGTGCCCCCTTTCACTGTAGAATCATTAGCAATGATCATACATTCAACTCTATTATTAAACTTTTCGAATATTGAGGTTGTTTATCAATAGCTCAAATATCACAGAGACTAGGAAAATTTAAACAACGACTAACCCTCTGACACGTCCAATTCCGGTTATAATTCCACCGGCGGGTACTTCATCCGAGTAGAGATTATAGCCTGCGAGTTGTGAAAGCTCAAGAAATGGAGAACTGCGTGGAATTTATTTATTGGAATATTATGAGACAAAGTGAAACTCTAAAGTGCAATATTATATAGGATCAAAAACACTTGCCTATTATCCAATAGTCGATTTATACTTGAAAAAAGGAATAATTTTTGTTTTTAAGCAAGATCAATCATCATCGAATTCAATTATTCATTCTAATTTGAATAATCTATACCGATCCCTGGGCAATAATTTATTTCGACTAAGATGTCGTTTCCGTGACTCTTCCCCGCCGCCTATTCTTTCCAAGATAATTATGTGAATATATTCAAAGAATTTAATAATCCTAAGGAAACCAACCTAATTTAATTTTTTCCACCGTATTATGAAGGTCTTTGACTAATTTCTCCATTTTTTCGGCATTTTCCTATATCATTTAGCAAGTTTGACCATGTTTGTTCGATTTATGCTTAATAATCACTAAATTTTGACAAAAACCTTAAATTCATCTCTATTGGGATCGACATTATTTGGCAACAAACTCGCAGCGTCTTCATGCCATGTATGATAAGAACCAACAATCGGCCTGCTTTTAAAAAGAAAATGATGCTTTATATAGTTTCTTTGACAATTGGTAAGTAAAAGAAAACGTCTGAAGTTTTGCATTATCGAAATACAAAAATTTTTTGGATTCCCGGAAACAGGTTTTTTTTAACTTCTACAATTATGCATGCAGATGCATGCATAATGATCCAAACATAAAATAATTTTTTAATTTTTTGCATTAAATCCATTGCCTAACTTCCCCCCTCTTAGCGTCCTAATTGTGTTTTTAAACCTCGTTTGGGATATGTGTACGTGTTTTTGTCATTTCAAATTAACGACACAAAATAAATCATTAAAAATACATATAAATCATATAAATGGGGGATTCACTCGTTTGCATATTTATCAATCATCGACAAACAATAAAAATTCAATAAAATTCATTTTTCTTCGAATTGGTTAAACGAAACCAGGTTCATGATTTTGATATTGGGACAAGCATTCAGGAGAAAAATTTATTGAAGCTTGGTTTTTCAAATTTTTTGTTCGGGATATCGTCATTATGAAAGAAGACTTACCTTGTAGAACATATAAAACGGACACTATTAATCCCCCGTTTATCTTGAATACTTTCTCGCTATGGATGGAAGTATAAACGTTGGGATACAGAGATACGAATATATGTGCTGCATGAGGTCACCACCAAACAAACAACATGGATTTTTGAACGGCATCCACATGGAAGTGACTAATGATGTTTTGAGAACGTTGATACAACAGTTCAATAAAACGATGTTACTCAATCCTGTTGATGATTAAATGTTAAGACATGGAGAACTGGTCCAGTTTGTTGTAATTCTTCGGACACGATTTTTTATTAGTTGCTGATGATACGCAATTAATCACTGACGAATTACTTATATCTCAAAAGGTGGTACTTCTATTACGACAGCATTTATGGCGATCATTAACTCGACTTGCAAAAAATGCTCGTGATCAAATTCCGTATTATGACAAGTACAATATTTTTTTTGCAGAGGCAATAGCGAGACGATGCAATTGCTGCAAACCAAAACTTTAATCTTGCGCAATTTAGCAAATCGCAAACTTGCTATCAATCAATCCTTTGGTGAATTCTAAATATGGCAAAATCATTGCAATTTTACTGACGAAACCAACCCTTCTTTCTTTGGGGTTCAATACACGCAAACAGGTTACTACTAAAATTGATGCGTGTTAATTTGTAAGGTCCCCTTTGGCAGTAAATTCAAATTATTTACGTATCTATTTTTAAACACTTTACCCGAAATTATGCAAACACGCTCAAAGTGAAATTCTACTTTCGTAATTATGCACGGATAGTATGCATGTCCTTGATTTCATAGAAATCTCGCGGGTGAAATATATCGCGCTTCCTATCTATGTTTGACAATTCTGCCATATTTATTTGGGTCCCGGAATTCTCATGCTTTCTGCGGGATATCAGTTTCATTGTATTGTATTCACGCGGGTAATGGATAAACATAAGCTGGCCTCTAGAACAGAAAATAAATTATTTCGGTAATATATCCGATAATATGTTTGTTTTTCCCATGAAAATAATGCAACGTATGAGGTCAATAATATATAAATATAGTGATTAATAATGCATTCATCGCTCTTTCCCGTTGTAATAATGATGCCTTCGCCTGCATTTCCCTTTAACTTTCTCTAGAAAAATGACCGCAGTACCCTGATTTGGACTAATCTATCATGATTGATATCTAATTGGATACTCAAAATCCCCGCATGATTACATAACTGCCAATCATCAGTGATTATTATATAAAGGTTCAAGAACAATACGACTCTGTTTACTAAGTTCTCTCCACATCTATTTTTTTACTGTCCTCAACATCAATTTTTACTGTCCTCAACACCAATTTTTACCATGCAAATTTTCGTAAAGACTCTTACCGGCAAGACCATCACCCTTGAGGTGGAATCTAGTGACACCATTGACAATGTTAAACAAAAAATTCAAGACAAAGAAGGTGTGTTTATTTCCATTGCAGTAATTTAAATAGACGTGCTGTTATGAAGTAGAAATACTTTTTTAAAATGGCACGGTTGCATCAGACTTTCTTTAATTACAAGAAGAAATATTATCTTATTTAACAATCAAGAAACGAATAATATGAAAAATTATATTGATACTAATTATTATTATTATTATTATTGTTTCACATGGTAAAAATTAAAATTATAGGAATTCCTCCGGACCAGCAACGTTTAATCTTTGCTGGCAAGCAACTTGAAGATGGTCGTACTCTTTCGGACTATAACATCCAGAAAGAGTCCACCTTGCACTTGGTGCTCCGTCTTCGTGGTGGTATGCAAATCTTTGTCAAGACGCTCACCGGAAAAACCATTACCTTAGAAGTCGAATCGTCCGATACTATTGATAACGTAAAGCAAAAGATTCAAGATAAAGAAGGAATCCCTCCGGACCAGCAACGATTAATCTTTGCAGGCAAACAGTTGGAAGACGGACGTACCCTCTCCGACTATAACATCCAAAAAGAATCCACCTTGCATTTAGTTCTCCGTCTACGTGGTGGTATGCAAATCTTCGTCAAAACATTAACCGGTAAAACCATCACCCTGGAGGTTGAGTCTTCGGATACCATCGATAATGTCAAACAGAAAATCCAAGATAAGGAAGGTATCCCTCCAGATCAGCAGCGTTTGATCTTTGCCGGCAAGCAACTTGAGGACGGTCGCACTCTTTCAGATTACAACATTCAGAAGGAATCCACTTTACATCTCGTACTCCGTCTTCGTGGTGGTATGCAAATCTTCGTAAAGACCCTCACCGGTAAAACCATCACTTTGGAAGTCGAGTCTTCGGATACCATTGATAATGTCAAGCAAAAAATCCAAGATAAAGAAGGTATCCCTCCGGACCAGCAACGTCTCATCTTTGCTGGCAAACAGTTAGAAGATGGACGTACCTTGTCTGACTACAATATTCAAAAAGAATCTACTTTACACTTGGTACTCCGTCTTCGTGGGGGTCAATAATTCACCATGGATGTCAAAAATCATTCTGAATGTTAAAAATGTAGTGAAATAGATCTCAAATTTTATTTAGCTCTTCGCTCTTTATTGTTCGCTAAATTGTATCACTATTTTAGCAATCCTTTCATCATAGTAATTGCAATAAAATAGAAAGTTCCGTGAATATAATAAGAAGTGTGATTCCAAAATCAAAACTGATTTTATAATTACTAATGTTAAATCTGGCAACGGGGGAAGGTTGCTAATGTGTAATAACAAAGTTTTATTACGCAAACTAGAACTGATTTCAAGAAGATATATAATTAAATTTTAAATCTTTTAATAGTGAACCCTGCAATCAACACTTAGAAGGGTGTCCAAAATTACTAATGATGCTTGTCAAAATGATTATAATACTGGCCAGGCATTTCAATTTGGGTGATAGTTTATTGTCATGTGAATTAGATCACGGGATCACAGTGTACACCCAAATCAATTTTCTGAATTCCATAACGACAAGTTGTGTTTTTTATTTATGTTGCATATTGTTTAGGCTAAGATATATAATACTTGTTCTAATATTACGATGACAGGATGCAAATTATTGACTATCTCGGTATTCTCGTATAATATTTGAATTCTGACAAATTATTTAATTGTACGATTTTCTTTATGGATCTGAAGATTGCCTATTCAATTAAGTAAAAATAGCATCATATTAGACACCAGGATTTCTCTTGATAGATAAAGTACGATACAATAAGACAGATAAAGAGAATTACAAAGAGGGAACTGCTCTATTGACATCATTCTCACGGCTAAATGACGAACCTGTACAAGTTGATAGAAAACAACACCGAAAAGTTAGCGATCTCAACAGCCTCTTCCACTACTACTGATGCAACGTCGTTGCCATCATCTGTGCAAAAAGGAGCTCAAAAATAATGAGAATTCCTATAATTGGCATGGAATTATTTAATGTATTATAAGTACAAGTTTGATATTAATCTATCTATCCTCCATGAAGTGTCGAAATAAATACTATATCATCAGCTTCTTTAACTTCATAATTTAATTCA